TGTGCCATCACTGCAGCCTTCACCCCAGAAGGGCCTGAGCTGGGCTGGCATCACTGAGAGTCTTGATCGTTCAACAGAATTGGAAATCAGTGTTTTCTCTAGAAACTGCAGGTTTTTAGTGTATCAGAGAAAAATAGACTGGCTCCCAGTCTGAGTATGGCAAAGTAGCACAGACTTCAGAGGAGTGACAATAAACTGCTCAATTTTTCGTCTTATGGGGAACCCATTGCCCCCTTCATAGACTCTTTCATTTCTCATTGAAGTTTTAATACTTAAAAATCTTGGTGGCCTGCAAGATCCCCAGTGATTTGGTTGATTATATGATCCTAGCCACCTAGGGTCCATCTATACCTAGTTTGATCCTACTCAGACTTAAAGGATCTGATAAAAATATCCTCTCCCAGAGGCTCTAGAACTCTGGACCAGATAAGAGGGTTGGCCTCACTGAACTCGGCAGGAAAATTCTCATAATACCAGGCACTAGGCAAAGTTTCCCAAGAGCTCCAGGCTACTTTTTTCATTCTCCTTGGAAAGGTACACAGAACGGTGCTGCACCCACCCAACCATTTGCTTCTCTTCTCCAGAGCAGATTGTACCCGATGACACATACTCAGCCTGGGCTTGTTGTCATTTCTCCAGCCTGGCGTCCTGAAGCAGACACCTGGTGATTTCTGATTCATCCCAACCCCTTCAGCAGAGATGAGGAACTATGATGAGCCACATTTTGTTTCCCAGTGAGAAACAGCCTTACTCAGATTGTCAGTAAATAGTGCGCAACCTCAGCAACGAAAGAGTGATGGAGAGGAAAAGAGGAGGCGACAGAATGTGGTCTAGTCTGGTGGTTCCACATGAGACTTGGTGTCAGCAGTCCTGGTCTTGTTCCCAGCAGCCTGTCTGACTCACTTTGAGCAGGTCACATTCTGTTTGCTGGAGGTTTTTTTGGATCAGAAATGTGATTGTGGCTCTCTTGGCATATTATCTTGTACATGAGTTGTTAATGAGGCACTTTAACTGCAAATTCAGGGATTAGAATATTGTCTACACAGCAGGTGAGTAACTAGCCTTTGAAGAGGACTATCAGATATCTGTCAACTGTGAGGAAGATAAACGTGTAGTGGGGTGGGGGGGGGGGGGGTGGGTGAGACACACTCTAAGCACAGTTGTGCGCTCTGGAAGTACAATGAATAGTTTCAACTGCATTTGTGTGGTCTCCCCCAGATTCACTGAGAATCTCCTAGAACCTTTGGAGGTGCTTCTCACCCTGGATAGAATGATCTCTCTCTTTATGGCTGTGTCAGGTTGGGTCTTCCAAGAAGCAGACACTAAGGCAGGATTAGGAGGGAAGGAGATTTATTGGGGAAATGGCTGTGAAGGATAAAGGGCAAGTGAGCTGGAGTAGCTGGGGCCGGGCTCAAGGTATCCATTAGGTGTGGTAGTCCCAGTGCCTAGGAGCCTCAGCGTTCTTAGGGATCCACAAGGATGTTTTAATTTTATTTATTTTAACCAGGAAATTTAATCAGGGAAAAAATGGATATAATAATAAATATAATACATCCACCTTAGGTTATAGTCATCTTTATACCAATGAAGTCATACAATATCATTTTTAATATTTTTTATGGAGTAAGGGGCCCACAGCAGCCAAAGTGCCTAGGGCCAACGAAAGTCTTAACGTGGCCCTGTGTGGGGAGAGCCTTCAGCACAGGGTGGAAGGCTGAAACTTGAGAAGGAGAGAGGCCAGGCTGTGGGGGACTTGCCGAAGAACCCAGATCAGGCGGGATGGTCCTGCTCTGGTACCCCTGCTGTGCTTGGTCGCAGGCTGAGAACAGCTCAGTGTGATGTGGCCTTGGCACACCTGCTGTTGTGGATCCCAAGATGAGGCAGCTGGAGGCTGTCAGTCAGCTATGGTCCCTGCAGCAAGTTCACTTGAAGGAGATGTCAGCAGCCCACCTCCATGGCCCCCACAATGAGGGATAAGGAAACAAAGTACTATAGCTCTTCTCCACCCACATTCCCAACGGCATATCTTGGAAAGGGGTTCTGTTCCATTGGTAAGACATATTACAAAGGGCATTAACATCCTCTTTTGACACTCAGACAAGTTCTGAGTGAGCAAAGGCATGTTCCAGGGGCTGCTTGGCCACATGTGTTCTCCATAAGTGAAGTGTCCTAGTAGAGGCTGGCTGGCCACCAGCAGTGCTGTAGAAGGCATTGGAGCTTAGGATGGGGATTCGTGGCCTTACCTGCATGTCAGAGGTTCTCTGATTCTGTTCAGTCTGACATTCTGATTCTTCCTTTAAAATCCGTCCCCAGAGGCAGCAAACTGGGGGCCCATTAGCCACTTCCAGCCTGCAGATGTGTTTATTTGGCACAGGCAAAGTTTAGAAGATTGTGGTGGGTGATGTAATGGGTTGAATTGTATTTCCTCAAAATTCATATGTTGAAGTCCTAACCCTCAGTACCTCAGAATGTGAGCTTATTTGGAAATAGGGTTGTTGCCGATGTAATTAGTTAAGATGAGGTCACACTGAAGTAGGGTGGACCTCTAATCCAGTGTGACTGGTGTCTTTATAAAAAAGGGGAAATTTGGACACAGAGAGACGTGCACACAGGGAGAATGCCGTGTGAACATGAAGACAGACATCTGCTAGCCAAGGAAAGCAGAGTGCCAGCAAACCACCAGAAGCTAGGACAGTGGCATAGAACATACTCTCCCTCACAGCCCTGACAAGGAGCCAGTCCTTCCCATACCTTGATCTTGGACTTCTGGCCTCCGGAACTGTGAAACAATAAATTTCTGTTGTTGAAGCTACCCCAGTTTGTGGTACTTTGTCACAGAAACCCTAAAAAATTAATTCAGGGGGTGTTATTTAAAATGGATAGATGTGCTATAAAAATCTGGATTTTTGAGCTTCAGTGGGAAAATTTTAGTCAGGACATCAGCTTGGAGGAGAGGGCTGGGTTCTCAGGGATGGAATGGAGAACACAGGCCTACTCAAGGGACCGCCACTCCTTACCACCAGCTGGTTGTTACAACACGAGAATATGGGTCTAGCGCCATCAGATTTTCTGACTTTTCCAGAGAAGCTTGATTTCTCTTTCTTGTTGCCAGTGAAATATGGTTTCAAATACAGGCAACTAATTCATCACTCTATTTTCTCCCTGACCCACTCCACTTCAATCGTATACTTGATCTGCCTGGCTCCTCTGATCGTCTGAGCTTGTGATCTCTATTTATTCACAGTTGCATGACTTGGCGAGATGACCAGAGAAATTATATTTAAGCAAGGGAGATTATTCAGGGGGTTGAACAATTTGCTGCCAGGAGAAAGTAAGCTTTGATTTTTCCATCTTTCCCCTCTGCCCTGCTGAGGTGAGGACCTTTCTGAGACTATATTTGTGCTTTGAATAACCATTTGTTGAGGGCCCAACACATCCTGGGTGGTGTGCTAGATGAAAGTAAGCGTCGGGTATGTGAGTGCATATATTCTTCCTAATATCCTTCCTGCTATTTTGCCAAGGATAATAAGATTTATTACTAACCAGGCACCATGTAACAAAAACAAAGATATTAAGTTGTAATTGTTCTGAGCTTGTAAATAGAAAGGCTGTTCTATCAAAGCTACATTACATAACTCCTCTGTCATTGAAGCTTAAATAAATTCAGACCAAAATGCTAATAATAATAGCTATCCTTTATACAAAACAGACAATGGGGAAAGCATGTACTAGAATCAGTAATGGCATTACTTTATTTCATTATAATTATGTTGGGCGATTGCAGTGTGCTGGGCACATGCCGAACACCTCACACACATCTTCTCATTTACTACTTATATCAACCTATGAGAGAAGCATTTGATGCTCATTCTAGAGATCAGAAAATTGAAGCCCAGAGATATTTAGTAACTTGCTCAAGGTCACAGGGCTTGTAAGAGGTTGGGCAGGATTCAAACTCAGTTCGCTCACTGCCGAGTCCAAGCTCTCCCCATTCTGCCTCACAGTTTCTCTGTTTCAGCAAAATGCCTCAACGGAGGTCGGCCTCTGGGTCCAGAGCACACCAAGGCCTTGCCAAGAGTGACATCACAAGTTTTACCTTCTAAATCCTAACCTTGTCTCAGTGTTAGTTGACTGACATGTTCTATTAAAGAGCTACAACTGGTCATCTAGTTTGAATTCAAAATCTTCATTTCGCTCAAAGCATACGTAGTGACACTTTGTGGATATTGTAAAGATGTACAGGAGGGTCTCCCTGCTCTCTTAAGAACAGACGGTATGCTTGGTATGCTCTTAGAAGCCATATAGCCCTAAGAGGGCTCGGGGGAGGAGGGCTTCGGGGTAATGGTCTGTTTCTTTCCACAGATGTGTTCAGCTTGGGAAAATTCAAGCACCTCACAGATGATAGATACACCTCTTTAACTATATGAAGTACGTTTTACTTTACTCAAAAGTAAGGAAAAGGGGCCGGCCAGTGACACAGTGGTTAAGTTTGCACGTTCTGCTTCGGCGGCCCAGGGTTCACTGGTTCAGATCCTGGGCGTGGACCTAGCACCACTCATCAAGCCATGCTGAGGTGGCATCCCATATAGAAGAACTAGAAGGATGTACAACTAGGATATACCACTATGTACTGGGGCTTTGGGGAAAGAAAAAAAATAGAAATAGAGGAAGATTGGTAACAGATGGTAGCTCAGGGCCAATCTTCCTCACCAAAAAAAAAAGAAAGAAAGAAAAAAGAAAAGGAAAGCATGCCTTTAATAAAAACAACTAAGGAAAAGAAAAAGAATGGTTCTACTCTTGTATTTAGCAGAGTACAATGAACTCCATGTATTTACCTCCCAGCTGGGACAAGCCATGGCCATGCTTCTTCCTCCGTAACTCATTCGTTTCCTCCCCACCACTCCCACTGGATTATTTTGAAGTAAATCCCAGAATCGTGCCATTTCATCTGAAAGTCCCCTAGTCTGTCTTATGCTGTGTTTTCTCTGTGTAATCTTCAGGACACTACATGTATGTGGACTCAGTTTACGTCAAGCACTTCCAGGAGGTGGCCCAGCTCATCTCCCCGATGACCACGGCCCCCATGTCCGGCTGCCTGGCGTTTTATTACCAGCTCCAGCAGGGGAATGACAATATCTTCTCCGTGTATACTCGGGACGGGGCCGGCCTTTATGAGGAGATCTGGAAAACAGGCAGCCCAGGGAATGCTGTCTGGAACCTCGCCGAGGTGGAGTTCAGTGCTCCGTACCCCATGGAGGTAGGTGTGCCAGGTGTGCCAGGTGTGCCCCACCTGGCCGCTCTGCAGGGCTGCCAGCCACACACAGGCCTGGAGGTCAGGAGACTCGACAGTCTCACAGTCATTCTTTCTTTTCTGCTGTGTCTCGATCCTTCTCTTTCTTCTCCCTTCCTTGGCCCCCTCCACTTCTCTCCCTTCTTCTGTATTTCTTTCTGCCTTCCTCCTTTGTCACCTTCATTTTCTAAAAAGAATATTTTTTCTAAGGACACATATGGAAAAGCCAGTCCACCAGCTAGATTTCTTGGACACACCGTCCCCCTGAACCTTGCACTGTGGTTGTGATGAGTTCGAAAGAGGAGATCAGTGCCTTCTAAGTGAAACTCCCTCTTTTTAAAAAAAAAAAAAAAAAATCTTATTTTTAATTGTATTTATTTTATTGAAGTCACATTGGTTCATAACAGTATATAAATTTCAGGTGTACTTCATTATATTTCAGCTTCTGTATAGACTGCATCGTGTTCACCAAAACTAGTTTCCGTCCGTCACCATACATGTGTGCTCCTTTAAGGGGTAAAGAGAGACTCTCTCTTGAACTTCCATTCCTGAGCACGGTTACGAAGGTTTCCCTTACTTGAAGGAATAGTCTTAAGAGATTGAAAAAACACAGCTTATTTTCTTCTTTTCTCCTTTACAGTATAAATAATGTCATAAAATCAGAAATAAACTTAACGATTGTGGCCCTAATTTGAAACAAGCCTTGGTGCCTTCGTCTTAGGACTTTTTATAGTTACGTGAGTGAGAAACGTCCTTTGCAGAAGGATTAGAAAGTTCAGAGAAGCAAAACAAACTAAAACGCCCTGGGCCAACCCTGCAAGATGAGAACTGCTAATACTTGGGTGTTTATGTTGCAGACCGTTTTTCTAAGCACGTATATTAACACATACCTGTATCTAGGTATGTAATCCACAACAAACAAAAATCCAACAAAGTAGATTCAACTATCCCCGTATTCCAGATGAGAAAGGGGAAAGGGGAGAGTCCAAGAAGTTTGACATTGTTTTCTAGGTCACACGGCTGGTGAGTGCCAGGGCCCTTAGCGACGTTCCTGGACTAAAAGCTGCCCTAAGGCTGGAGGAGGAGGCCCAGCTCTGTCTGGGTACCCCGGAGGACCTCTGGAATCAGGGAGCACATCATGGTGGTGGCAGATTTGGAGCTTTAAGTAGAGTCTTAGTTACCACAAGTTGTTGATAGCCCCTACTTTTCACTCTGCACTTTTTTGCAATATTTTCCCTAGCTGCCTTTAAAGTACAGAAGGAGCAGATTATCCTCTGGATGCTGTTCGGTGGGGCCATCTGCTCGCCTGATGTGGAGCTCCGGAGAACCTTGGGGTCGCCTCTTGGTTTTTTGCCGTGTTCTGCCTGCTGATGGCGTGCCTGCCACTCCCCTCACCTGCTTCTCATCCCCCTCTGCCGCCCCCCTTCAGCCCCGGAGAGAGGACAATGCTTTTTGCAGGATGTGTGCTATTTCCTCTCCCAAAGTCTGACCGAGCCTCGACGTGCTCTTGCAGCTCAGTGGAAAATTTCCTGTGAGTTTGGGTTACAAGGAGGAAAAGAAATGCACATGCTGCTTCAGACATGTTTCCTCCTGTTGAAGGCCCATGAGTCACACACACACTGACGGCGTTTTCTTTGCACACTCCTTCCATCCTACAATAAACTCCTGGGGCGACATTGGGATGCGTGAGACTTCGCTGATTTTTTTTTAAACCAATGCTTGAAAAATTCTGGTCACTACTAAACTTCAATATCTATCCTCTTGATTCACATGTGTGCGATTTTGCTCAGTCTGAACTCATTATGCTATATTTTCTCCTGGTAATTGCCAGGAAAAGAAACATATCCTGCAGAAATCAGCAAATTTAGCGTCACCATATTCTCAAATGAATTTTAAAAAGGAAAACAAGCATTCGAGACCCTCTTTCTGAAAAAGAGAGCAGCACATGGGCTGTGATTAGCATACTGGCAGATTAGCATATTCTGATCGAAATATCATTCTCATTCAGCCTACTCAGTAAGATTAAGTGCTGTCATTCACTTTCTTTATCAGCTGGCACCTTGAGAACGAAATGTCATGAATCTGTGTTAAGTTTGTAAACTTAATTTGCTCCTTCTCATTTGTCCACATCTGTTCCCTTTGTTCTCAGCTCTTCCTAGTTCACCAGAGACAAACTTCCAGGGTCCCCCTTGGATTTTGCAGAGTCCAGGCACCGGGTCTCTGTAAGACCATCATTGTTAAGCTGAAAAGCACCTTAGGAACCAAACTCTTTTTTTTCAAAAATGGAGAAGCTGAGACCTGGAGGAGAAAAGGAACTTGCTAGAGCTAATTAGTGGCTAACTGGGCTTAAATCTGAATATGAGTTCAAGAGGGAGTCAACCTGGAGAAAAAGGCATGAATTTAGTTCAGAGCTCATTATGCACCTGACTCCGTGCTAGGATTTTTATATACGTTATCTTATTTAATTTCTTCATCAGTCCTACAAAGTAGGTGTTATTATGCCTATTTTATGAGAAAAGTGAGGCCTCGAGAGGTTAAGCAACATACCCAAGGTCACCTAGCTTCTAAGTGACGCAAATGGGATTTGAACTCCGGTCAGTCTGCCTGCAAGACACCATTCTCTTCAGAAGAGGTTGAAAACCAGAAGCCTGTGGGCCAAAGCTGGCCCACAATGACTTGCCTGGCTGCTGTGGTTGTGTTTCATTGTTTGTTTGTTTGTTTGGTTTTTTGTTTTAATTTTTAAATTAATTGCTGACATAAAAAATCTAAAGATTTCAAGTCAAAATCTAGCGATCGAGGTCCTCTTGACAATGTGGTAGATCCACACATATTGGGCCGGATTTCCCACTCATCAGCAGTTGACAAAGCTGAGCAGCAGCCCCCTTTAGACAAGGTTTGCCTTCTCCATTTCACCATCTGTGCCCTGTCCCGCTGTGTCATACCGAGCCCACGTCATGTATTTGCATTGCCTGCTGACCATTGTAGGCTTTTGAGTTTTAACCCCTGCTCAACACTGTATCTTCTCATGTTATCAGTTCACAAGTGTGGACTGCACACCTGGGTGGTTCCCCAACACGGGTGAGTGCTGTGCTCAGCACACCTGATCCCCATGGGCACAGGCAGAAGCTGTTGATTGAAGTCAGAATTAAAGTTGATGACAGAGACGACAGCTGAACTCATAAACCCCATGTTCTTTCTAACCATTTGCACATGCCTGGACTTGCTGACATCCTGACATCTGTGCACAGATTCCTGGGTCTGATTTTGCCTTGGCCATCAGGGTAATCATCTCTGATTGCTACATCTTTGTCCAGGACCCTCACATAGAATTCCACACATGAAGAAGAGAAAGGGCCTCGGAGGGGCTTAGTTCTCTGTGAAGGGCAGGGGAGAAGCTAGCCTGCTTTCTGCAAGTAGCCTGTGGTTTCTTTCGTTGAGGTTCATCATGCAAACTGTCACTTCTGTAGTTTGTCTGAAAGTGACATAGGTACCTCAGCTGACGCTCAAGGGAGGGGAAAACATTCACCAGTAAAATATAACTGAATGCTCAGTATCCACTCTCCCTAAGAGACTGTGGGTCGAGGAGCGAGCTGCCCAAACTCCTATATTTAGGAACACGTTTCCTTAAGTACTTTTAACTTGGCCTCAGCTGTCTTGACTGACACATCATTTTAAATCATGCTTAAGAGCATGTAAGCCTCACGGGAAATACGTGAACCTGTAGCAATATGTCATTTTCCTCTGCAGGTTATTTTTGAAGTTGCTTTCAATGGTCCCAAAGGAGGATATGTGGCCCTGGATGATATTTCTTTCTCTCCTGTTCCCTGCCAAAATCAGACAGGTAAGCTTTCCTTCTTTCTTCTTCCTCACATTTGGAATTTTCCTTTCTCAGTAGATGCCTGTGGGCAGGACTTGCTTTAATTCCTTCTAATTTCCTCACCTTTCCTGTTATCTCATCCTTAAAAGATTACTTAACCGAATAGTCATTTTTCTGGTATATTACTCTTTTTTTCCCCTCACAGACTGAATCTAATTTTTCTGACACCACAGGCCAGTGGTCATGTGCTAAGGAGCTTTCATCTTCCCTACCTCCTCAGAAACGAAAATTAAATACTACTAACTCATTCCCACCCTATCTTTCTCTTTAAAGGATATCTTAGGTTCATAGACAGGTGAATGGATAGGTGAAGAAAACTCTCAAAATCTACTGAGTAGAGGGGCTGGCCCCGTGGCCGAGTGGTTAAGTTCGCGCGCTCCACTGCAGGCGGCCCAGTGTTTCGTTGGTTCGAATCCTGGGCGTGGACATGGCACTGCTCATCAGACCACGCTGAGGCAGCGTCCCGCATGCCACAACTAGAAGGACCCCCAACGAAGAATACACACTATGTACCGGGGGGCTTTGGGGAGAAAAAGGAAAAAAAATAAAATCTTAAAAAAAAAAAAATCTACTGAGAATTATAAAATCTCTTCCCAGTTTTATATAATCCAAACCTATAAATGTCCTCATGTTTAAAGATGTTAGTATTTGGTATTCATTTCTATGATGGTTTTTGGCTAAATATATTATCTTCGATTTAATGTCTAAGTGAACCCTCAAATATTTTATCATGGCCAACTTTGCAATTTCCATTAACTTGATGTTTAGAAAATAGGAAATTTTTACTTTCTGGGAAAATAAGTAAGCAAATCGATTCAAAGCGAATTAGAAAAAAAATGTTTTGGAATAAGAAGGATGGCACTATATTAATAATAACTCAGATGAATGTAATTGACCTTCCTTTTAGTGAGTTTGTTTCCTTGAGAGGCCCTGGGGAGACTCTGTGGTCATCCCATCTTATTAATGAGCCCTCCTTCTGGGTTTTGAAGCCTGGGAAGTAAACTTTTGAACTTGGCCTTTGTAGTCTGATTTTTAATTAAGATAGAGTTGGTCTCCAATGTAATGCGGTTTCAGATATATTCTATAAGCAAGGGGACTGAAAAAGATACTATTTTCTACTTGAGCTAAACTGTTACCCCCAAATTAGAAACACTGCAATTTGCTGAAATCAAATATTATTTTTTACTAATTCTAATTTAAAAAAAAAAACTAGTGAAACAGAAACTGACTGGATTTACATGTTTACATATTTTCATTGAAATGATTTAATCCAAACCGTAATCAAAGATTACATGAGTCTCTAAATTTGACAGAACACAGAAACCAAAATTGTTTTACTTCTTTAAATCTGATTGCTCCCTAATCCCATCAGTTGATATTTCAATGATGTTAATAGTAGTTTCACAACCTCTTTATCATTAGTTTTAGAAAGTTCCTTCTTTCGGACACCAGGCACTTACATTGAACTTGATATTTCCAAGTTATACATATGGGTGAAGAGGTGTTTATTCAGTATCTGCACTGGGTGGAGGGTGGGTGGGAGGTAATAGAATCTACTGGACCACCTTGGAAGTAACGTTGGGAAACACTCTCCCTTTTAAAAGATACAGGATATACATGAGCTCTTTCCTACTGAGTGGTGAAAGAAAAAGAAGGATTCTAGCAAAATAGGGACCATTTATTGAAAGGGCTGGTGGCCTCTCAATCTGTAAAATTCAGCCCACATAAAGACCCTTCCTCCTCAGGGGCCACCAGAGATTCACGTTTTTATATAGAGAGGTTAGCCAAGCCTCCCTATGGGTCTTGAGAACTTCCCAACGTACCAGCTTTGCTTTCAAATGGTTTAGTTGCATGCTCCATAGTGTTATGCTCGAGACCCGGCACTTTGGATTCACATCCCTACTCTGCCACTTACAAGCTATGTGACCTTGGACATGTTAATTAATTTTTCTGAGACTCTGTTTCCACATTTATAGGACAAGGATGGAAGAATCTGTTCTGTAGAGTTGTCAGGAAGATTGATGAGTTAATATCTGTGAAGGCCTTAGCAGAGTATGGCACACACAAAATGCTCAGTTATGAGACTTAATATTATTTACTTAATTTTCGGAAGACTCCCATCCATTTCCTGGAGAACAGGGAGTCAGATTGAAATTAAGGAGAACCAGCACTGCCTCTGTGGATGTGTAAGCTAGAGCCTGCTTTGTGCCTTTCATTGAGCAGCTGTGGACCAGATTCTGAGTCTTAGAGGCTGAGCCCTGGTACTTCGTCTTACATTTCACAAATAGTTTATACCCTTCTGGTTCGTAACAGGTGCCAACAATTTTTTCTTTATCTTGGTTAGCTCCAGACTCATTGTCTCTGCTTTTCCCAGCTGGATCTAGCATTTTCTCCCCTCATCTTTCTAGTAGGCTGAGACGGGAATTGTTTCAACACATGAAGCGTCTCGTTCCCACCATCTGGTTGGGCTTAGAGTTAATCCAGTCTCCCAGACCTGAGACCCATCGCGTAGTCACAGGTGTTAAACACCAGTGTCATGTTGCTTCCCAAATGTTCCCCTAGGATGCTTCCAGAGGACAGTGAGACTCCCTCAAACCTCCTCCCCCTGGAGTTGTAGCACTTGCCTTTCCTACCCAAAGACTCCCCCTTCACCACCACATTTGGCCTAGGGTCTAGATCATTGGAATAAGCTCCTCTTTTGGTCTACAAGTTCTTGAATGCCTAAGAGGTGATTCCATCCTCTTCTAGGAATCCTGCCTTCATGCCCAACCCAAACTGACAGCCCCACTGCTGTGCTCTTGGCACCCAGCCTCTTCTGTGGGCTTGGGTCCGCCTCACACCCAGGCCAAGGACTAGGAGGATCCTGACACTCATGGACATACCTCTCAAAGGACATCTACTGGGCCTAATTCCCAATACTGACCATTCACCAACAGCACACTGCCCAGAGCTCTTGTCTAATTGGAGGCCTGGCTCCAATTGTTGCCTAGGATGCAGCTGAAGTTGCCACAGCCTGCCTTAGCTCAGATGCCCTCAAGGGTCTCCACAGCCTGGTCAGTGGCCCAGCCCCTGCTCCATCACAATTCCTCAATCTGGTGCCAGGTCCCACTCACTCTCTTCCCCAAGGCAGCTTTGAGCTGTCTCAGCCTGCTTTCAGGCCGGCTCATGCTAAAATAAAGCTACTGTGCACCCCAGATCGCTCTAGCACTACAGGGGCTGGTGAGCCTTTTAGGTTTTGAGAGCTGAGAGTGGGATCATCTCCACGAACTCCATGGAGCAGAGGAAAAAATGAGAACTCCCAACGATTCTTCTCAAACTGTAACACTCTCCACCTGATTAGATTATTTTCAAAGCCTCTCATTTCTAAAAAGTTCAAATGTCTGAAAGCACGTAATTAACTAAATCTTACATTATGATGCTTTTTGATACCTGCCTCAAAGGGATTTTATTTCCTTTTTTTTTTTTTTCCAGATCAACTGAGGCTTAGGGGCTTCCAACAGCCTCTGATGCCTCCCTATGCTTCAAATATGTTGTTAACACTCAGTTGTGATTGTCACTTGACCCATGCTTCTGAAACAAGCCCGAAGCAAAGGCTTTCCATCCACCCCAGGTCTCTGGGAGCTCACTTTGGGCCACAAACAGGCCTTCTGGCCCCATCTTCAGGAATCAGATACTGTCTTGCAGTAGAGGAAGCGCTCTGGGTGAAAAAGATCCAGGCTTTGAATTATGCTTTTGAGATTTTCTTTTTATCATACCTTCTCAGGACCCTAGACAAATCCATTTCTAGGACTAGGTATTTAGCAAAAGAATATAATCACATCCTCAGAAAAATCTTTTCTGTGTGACAAAGTTTGTCACCATGGAGACAACTGATCCTTGCTGACTTTCAAGTTTTAATGCCACCTCCCACCCCTCCTACACACCTAATAAATGGGTTATGGTTCTCCTGTGGCTGCCCAGGGGGATAGTCCTTGGGGTATATTCCTGATGAGTAATTTCACTGACCTGCCCTTCTCTTTGTGCATGGCTTTTGGGAGTGCCATGCCATTTTCTGAGCTAGATTGCCATCTATAGATTTTGAATTTTCATCTGCTTTTTCATTACCAGGTGGCAGAGGGATGTCTAAGACTGGAGACCATCATGGGGTTTCCCATGGTCTCAAATCTGCATGGGAGGCTGTCAAAGGATTGTTGTTTGTATGACATATTAATTTTTCAAAGACTTTATCTTCATGGCTTAAAGATACTCCCTGATGTTGACAGAGTCAGGCCGAGCAGTGGGTGGGCTAATCCACCGATCTTAGAGCATTGAGAATTCTCTTCATTTCCTTTTCTCCTCTCTGGCTCATCAGGGTACTCTCCTTGTACACTGGGTAGGGCATATCATCTGAGATACAAGCAGGTTCCAGTTATGTAGGAACATTTTCTTTCTATTCTTTTTTGTAATGTGTGTTAGTCACTTACTTTTTTTAATTTAATGTTTTTAAAACTCATTTTTGTGTCATTTTAAACTCAGACAAAATTTGCAAGAATACTATAAAGAACTCCTCTGTACTCTTCACCCAGATCTACAAATTGTTAACGTTTCGCCTCATTTGCTTTATCAACCATTTAAGAGTAGGTTGCAGACATTGTGTCCCTTTACTCCTAAGTACTTCAGTATGTATTTTCTAAAACCAAACACATTCTCCAACACACTATGGGATAATTATAAAGTTGAGGAGATTTTGACACTGATACAAGGTTATCAACTAAATTATGGTCCATATACCAATTTTGCCAGTTGCCCCAATAACATCTTTTATAGCTGGTTGTTTTCCTGGACCAAGACTGAATCTCGGCTCCCTTGTAGCATTTGGTTGTCATGGCTCTTTCATCCCCTTTAGTCTGGGCCAGTTCCTCAGCCCGCTTGAAGGGTTTCCTGCTTTGAAATTTGGCAGATTGAGAGAACAGTGAGTGTTTGTCTGTAAAGAGCTCCCTGTTTCATCAGATCACTGCTCCCAGAATTCGTAAGTTTTTCTAGAGATGATTTCCCAGTTATTCAATACAGTGCCCTCTCTCTGGCCCTACAGGTTAGACCAGTGTATGTCAGCATGCAGGACAGGAGCACGCTTGGCTACATGGAATGTGTCCCAAGCTGCGTCAGTCACGTCCCCTCTGGACTTGAAGGGCCATCTGAACAGCGAAGTTCACAGCTACTTGTTAGGACCAAGTTATTCTCGAAAGAGCAGAAATCTTTATGTTCCATTCCCTCCAGGCAATCTGGAATGAGGTGATATTTTTAGACCAGGGTGAATGATACCAGAACTCAGCAAAAGCCAAAATAATAGCAGTATAGGTGATGGAATTGGTGTGACTTTTTCAACAGCGTGATGTATTCTGAGTAATGATTTTCCTCAAGCAGATCAGCTCCTACTCCTAACGTCAATTATAAATAGACAGCGGCTGTGCTTCTGACACAAAGACTGGGCAACAAAGGAAAATTAATTCTGGAAAATATTATTTCTAAAATGTCTTAGAGAGAAATTAAGAATTCCTTAAAATCCTTACCTTTTTCTTTCTTTGTAATTTTGTATGAAGGAATTCTGAGTTGTGAAGAAGTATGTGAATAAATTCTCCCAGTCTTTACATCATAAAAGGAAATTTCTTTTGAAGTTTTTTATTTTTATAGAGAACGTGAACAGAGCTCCTTCCTTCCATCCCTTTGGGGAGGAAAAAAACAATTTTCCTGTCATGCTGAGACGTTGGTTGGATGCTAACCTGTCAGCATGTCATTAGGATAAAAATATTGTCTTGTGTTTTACTTCTTCAGTCTCCCTGGGCACAAATGTGTGCGTGTTTGTCAACCAGCGCATGTAGTCGTTTGAGGTCCTGCGGTTTGGCTCTCTTTAACTTTGGTTCTCCTTTGCTCAGAGCTTCCTTTCAGCGCGGCAGAAGCAAGCTGCAATTTTGAGGAAGATCTCTGCAACTTTTACCAAGATAAGGAAGGTCCAGGCTGGGCCCGAGTAAAAGTAAAACCAAACATGTATCGGACCGGAGACCACACTTCAGGCACAGGTAAACCAGAAATCTGTCTGGGTGGGGATGTTGGGATTGGGGGCTGGGAGTTGTATTCATGCTCCATTCACCATTCTTACTCCACACCTGTTAAGTTGCTGACTTTTGTTTTTTTTTAAAGGCACTTGTAAAGAAACAAAGACAATTGGTAATCTTGTCTTTGACCTTTTTTTAAAATTGGAATTCAAGTTGCTATGCTAGGAAAAGTATTTGCAGTCTTTGACCTTTTTTTAAAATTGGAATTCAAGTTGCTATGCTAGGAAAAGTATTTGCAGTTAATTAAATAGCCAAACCTTTGGAAATTATCTTGCTCTTCACTTTAGATGGAGAAATACCTTTAAAAAGCTATTAGATTCCAATTACATGAAGCATCCAGAATAGGCAACTCCATAGAGACAGGAAGCAGATTAGCTGTTGCTAGGGGCTGGGAAGGGAGATGTGGGGAGTGACTGCTTAATGGGTTCAGAGTTTCCTTTTGGGATAATGAAAATGTTCTGGAACTGGGTAGTGGTGGTGGTTGCACAGCATTGTGAATGTACTAAATGCCACTGAATTATATACTTTAAAATGGGAAATCTTGTATGTATTTTTTTTGCAATAAAAAATATATTGTGGGGCAATAAGAGCTATTGGAATATGTTGGTGGGCACTTGGATATATCTACAAGGAGCTCTTAGAAGCCAGTTTGTGCTCCCCTTGAATAAGGATTATGTAATCACTTTAATGGATCCCTTGTGAAGCCCACTCTGGTAGAGACTGATGGAAAGGGCCTGTTCTCGAGGGGTTAGTGTCTAATTCATTTATTCAACAATTATTTATGTACTCAGCCCCAGGGTAAGTTTACCATAAAGCTGATGAAACTTAAGCTGCAGGACCCCTTACTTGTACAGGCCCTGGTAAAGGCGTTGCAAGGGGCCCTCACAATTTTATACTTGTAATTTTGTGCGCTTTTCTTAGAGGTTGCCTAACTTGTAGGAATACAGGCCCTACAAAAACCTGTTCTGACCTTGGCCAGACTAACTCCTGGGGGATCCAATAGTGAGCAAATCAGGTATGAAGCCCACCCTTGCTGGCTGACAATCATTAGAGAAACATTAGACAAATATATACACAAATAACTTTATAATTACAAGATGTAGTAAGTGTTATGAAAGAAATGAAGAGTGAGCTCTGGGAGAGAAAAGAGGAAAGAACCTAATTGTGATTGGGGACTCAGGGGAGGTTTTTCTTAGGGGAGTGGGTGTTAGCCGGGAGAGTGGGAGCAATCCAGCAGAGGGAACAGCATCTGTGAAGGCTTTGAGTTTGAAAAGAGCTGGGCACTCCAAGGAATTGGAGGGTTAGTGTGGCTGCACTGTGTGGAGGAGAGTGGAGGAAAATTAAGTTAGATAAGGAGATAGATCATGGGTGTGGCAGGCCAGAGTAAGCATTTGGGATTTTATTATAAAGGAAATGAGAACCACTGAAGGTTTTAAGAAGACAAGAGATTCAATTTAGGGTTTTTTTTTTTTTTTTTTTGAGTAAGATTAGCCCTGAGCTAACATCTGCTGCCAATCCTCCTCTTTTTGCTGAGGAAGACTGGCCCTGAGCTAACATCCGTGCCCATCTTCCTCTACTTTATATGTGGGATGCCTACCACAGCATGGCTTGCCAAGTGGTGCCATGTCCACAGCCAGGATCCGAACTGGCAAACCCTGGGCCACAGAAGTAGAATGTGTGCACTTACCCACTGCACCACTGGGCCGGCCGCTCAATTTAGGTTTAAAAAGGTTGTTCTGCCTGGTGTATGGCCACCTGTATTAGTCTACTAGGGCTGCCATAACAAAATACCACGGACTGGGGGGCTTAAACAACAGAATTTTATTTTCTCACAGTTCTGGGAGCTAGAAGTCCAAGATCAAAATGCCAGCAGGGTTGGTTTCTAGTTGGTTCAGGAAGAGAGAAGAGACCACTCTTCCTGGCTCGCAGATGGCTTCTTCTCATTGTGTCTTCATAAGGTCTTTCCTCTTCTGTACATGTGAAGTGGGAGAGAGATCTCTGGTGTCTCTTCCTCTTCTTCCAAGGACAGCAGTCCTATAGGATTAAGCCCCAACCCTTATAACGTCATTTAACCTTAATTAACTCCTTAAAGGCCCATCTCCGAACACAGTCACATTGACAGTTAGGGCTTCAACCTATGAATTCTACGGGGTAGGAGGCACAACTTAGTCCATAATGCCAGTCCTGTTAAATAACCAAAGAACCTTTTGCCGAAAGAATTAAATAATTGGGTAGAACTTGACTATATAGCAAAGACTGCGGCAATGGAAAGAAAATTGATGGGGGGAGAAACAGAAAAAGAAAGTAGGTTCTAGAGCTTATTTATGTTATTTAGGAAAAATAATTATCCTTTTTTAGGGTCCTTTTCTTGCACAGAAAAGGACTTGAGAGAGATTTTCTGATTGAATGACAGGCTGAAACAAAACAAATTTTGTAGGGGACCCAGTTCACTTCCCAACACCATTCACATGAAATAGCCAAAGTTCCACGGAGTTCCAGGCCAGCCTGTCACCTCTCCCTCGCCACTGATCACTGCAAGGATAGGAAGGAAAAGTCTGCTCTGGGCCTTCCATTCACTATGACCCACTCTAGGTACTCAATCTAAATCAGCTGGTTGACCCAGGCAGCTGGGAGCCTCAAGATGATTTCATGCTTTTTGTTTCATGCAAAACGTAAATCCTAATTGATGACTGGAATGTGAGCATATGCGGTTGGAAATCTGTCCTGGTTTATGAGGTCAACTTAGAGCTGGAGAAGGTTTATTTGCAACAGAGTCACATCGATGTAATCTGTTCCTTAAGCCACAGATATTAGAAAATGCTTTCAGTCATTTAAAGCCTATGGAAATAGCCTCTGTTGGCAAATTCTGCTACTTTAACCAAATTTTCCCATTTGATAACCGGGACTAGATTATTTAAGTTTTTCATTGCTGATACATTGAATGCTTTGTCCTGTTTGTAGGGTATTATCTGCTGGCCAACACAAAGTTTACATCGCAGCCTGGCTACATTGGAAGGCTCTACGGTCCCTCCCTGCCGGGAAACTTGCAGTATTGTCTACGTTTTTATTACGCCATCTATGGATTTTTAAAAATGAGTGACACCCTCGCAGTGTATATCTTTGAAGAGAACCACGTAGTTCAAGAGAAGGTCTGGTCTGTGCTGGAGTCCCCAAGGGGTGTTTGGATGCAAGCTGAAATCCCCTTTAAGAAGCCCATGCCTACCAAGGTACAGTAGAACCAGCGCGATCCATCGTTCTTTTTCCATTGCTGGACTGGGTTAGTGAATTTCTGTTTAGTTATTTTCAACTGGTGATGTGTTATTTTTCTTCTCTTCAAGCTGACAGCCACACCCCCACACCCTATCCCAGCCATGCACAGGTTATATCCTTCAGTTCTTTTTAGTTTTCTGTGTCTCAGAATCATGGCCACCTAGGGAATTTGTTTGTTGTTTATTTCTTAGATTCCACCAGCCTGGGAATATGTGACTAGTCCAAGTTCGGCAGCTAAACTTTAGTTTGAAGCCACAATTCTTTCTCTCTCTCTCGTGCATACATACACACACACACATACACGAATGCTACTGTTTTTAAAAGGTGAAATCAGTGAACCTGTTTCTCCATTGAGGCTTTAAGATCAACAGCCTAAGACTATAGCTGAACACAGGATGGGGAAGCTCAGTGAAAAATGAGAGCCAACCAGACAGAGTGCATCTATATAAGGGAACCATCAGCAGCTGACTTTGATAGCAATGAGAATACAAAGAGATCTCGATTGCAAGGGGAATGTAAGAGAAAACTGTGATTTCCCGAACTTAACAACTCGTAACCTCAAGGAAGTTTTACACATGTGATAAATTCTGTCAACTACAATCCACATATGAAGCTAGTATAGCAAAATGTTTTGTTTCAGCCTGTCGTTCACTCAGAAGCTATCTCTCAGGTACACTCCCAGTGCAAGTAGGGGGCCCAAAGGATTGGAAAGGTCCCTTCCTTCAAAGAGATGATTCGCACAGTGGGAGCTCAGTGAAGGCTGTTGAATGAAGGGATGAATCCATTAGTCACATTCATTAGCCAGGAATTACCCAAAGTCCCAGCTCCCCAGGGGAAGAGCCATACCTAGAAGAGCAGTTAAACCTTCTTCACAAAGATCGATGACCCGAACTTCTCTCAGTTAGAACCATCTGGACAGAATCACCGCTTTGTCTATCTATAACTTCCTGCTAAAGAAATTTTGTACACCATTCCTGTTGTAATGTTGCTTCGTTACTTTTAGTCCGTTGCGCTACCCACCAGGGCATGATTAAATCTTTACAATGATTAAGCAAAGATCTTGGAATATCTTTACAAAGTTCTTTTCCACTGCTAGGCAAGAAGAAGTTGTGATTATAAAGACATGGCCGCATCCTGGAGTTACTGATTTCTAAAAGGGTTGAACCAATTTCTGACACTTCTAACAGAATATAAGTATACAGATTTTACCACAATCTCATAGGCTGTTTGGATTATTTTTATGTTAATTAAATAGGTAGTGTTATTGGAGGTATCTCTTCTTAATTCCATTGTGCTTTGATGACTTGACTAGTCTGACAGATTTGGCTTGGGCCCCTGGGAATAGAATGAAAAGTCAGTTTCTTTATCACCCCCTACACCTAAACTCAAACTCCAATTCTTCTTCTCTTTCGGAAGGTTTTTCCCCGATCTTCTGTTTTCCTTTGTAATTCTGAATATTATATTTCCACCTCCGTTTCTTAATTCTTTAATCTGAACAGTATTCGCTGTCTCCTTGCTATGAAAGATAAGGAATTTAGCTTGTTTGTAGTATTCCTTATTCTTTTCTCTCTCCTCACAATTTTTAGTCATATTTTTATGTTCAACTTTTCTCTTGGTTCTCTTTGTAACTTTAATACACTTAACCATTTAGTTTTGGACCCAGAAACTTTAGATAGTGTCTCTTGACACCCCACTGTGTAAGATGAACAAATTTTCACCCCTGCATTTCCATTCTCCTCTCTTACCCAATTCATGTCTCAGAGTTTCTCAGCTATACAATTGCTTTTACATTGTCATGAATTTTAACATTTAAATTCCTACAGCGAAGCCTTCTAACTTTGCCAGTGGCGGGATTTCCCAGTGTGAGTCCCCTTGGCATTTTGAAGAAGACAGTTCTGCCTTTGTGGGGAGCCATCCATCACATTGTTGGGTTTTTAGCATCTGCAGTTACTGTAACAACCCAAATTATTTCCACACATTTCCCAATGGCCCCAGAGGTGCCACACCATCCTTGGATGAGAACCATTGGTCTATAAGCTGATTCTGAAAATTGAAATTAAACATAAACTCTACCTGCAATCCACTCTTGCCCCCATCCCATCTGTGCCCTGCCCAGCAGCAGCGTTATCACGAGGAAGCCGTCCCCTGAAGTAACCCTTTGGCCTCCTATTGCTCTTAGGGAAAAGGCTCTGCGTGACCTGACATCCGCCCCCTCCCCAGCTTCGCCTCTTGCTTTCTGCCTTCTAATCACACTGCACAATCAGTTCCTTGAACACACTCTGTACTCTCCTGTCTTGGATCGTTGCGCACTCTGTTGTTTCCACTGCCTAGCCTCATCTTAATTCGATCACACTTAAACTTCACTTCCACAGAGAATCCTTCTCTAGCCCCACTCCCCGGAGTTGGTTAGAGTTCCCCGGGCATGCTAGGTTGCTCCTTCATCATCTTGGGGACAGTATAACACAGTGATTAGGAGCATAGATCCAGGAGTCTCTCTGGTTTCAAATCTTAATTCTACCATTTACTGGCTTGGCAATCTTAATGTTTTTTCAATTGAGGTGTAATTGACTACTATAACATTATATTAGTTTCAGGTATACAACATAATGACTTGATATTTGTTTATATTGCAAAATGATCACCACAATAAGTCTAGTTAAGATCCATCACCATACATAGTAACAAAAAAGTTTTTATCTTGTGATGAGAACTTTCAAATGTGCAATAGAGTATTATTGACTATAGTCACCATTACATCCCATGACTTATTTATTTTTTACTGAAAGTTAGTATCTTTTAACCCATTTCACCCACCTCTGCACCTCCTGCCTCTGGCAACCACCAATCCGTTCTCTGTGTCTATGACTTGTTTTTTTTGGTTTGTTTTTCAGATTCTATGTGTGAGATCATACCGTTTTTGTCTTTCTCTATCTGACTTGTTTTATTTAGCCTAATGCCCTCAGGGTCCATCCATGTTACACGTGCCAAGATTTCCTCATTTTTAATGGCTGAATAATATTCTCTTAGTCATTTTTTTTTAAATCTCTTTCTTCCTTACTTTTCCCACCCAGAACCCAAAACCTAGCAGATACTTTGCTCACAGTTGATGCTCAGTAATTGTGGGATGACTGTCAGGTTCTGACTCTCGAGCAGTGGTTGTTGACCCTCATTAAAATCACCTGGGAAGTGCTTTTAAAATGCTAATGCCCAAGATATTCACTGTCCATTTCTCTCATAAAAATATAACCTTCCTGAGGACAAGGTCTGTGTTAGTCTTGTTCATTTCTGTATCTACAGCATCTAGCACTGTGCCTGGTGCACAGTAGATTATCAGTAACATTTTGTTCAGCAAATTTTGTTCGGTACACATATGTGGTCAATGAATACATAGAAGAATAATGAAAAGAACAATGAGAGATGAATAAATAAAAGAATGAATGAGTTGACTTTCTGACGCTGATAAGTGGCAGAACTAGAGTTTGAACCATGGTCTAGCCTACCCTGAAGGCTGCCCCTTGGTGCAGGTTTCCTTGGGTGCTCAAGGTTTCCATCTAGTCTTGGGGAAGGCTTCTTCTTGTGCAACTGGAAACAGTCAGGCTCCCCAGTGTGCTGTGGGGTATAGGCACCTTCTGTCATTTCATTGAATTCTTACAACATTCCTGTAAGGGAAGTAAAGTATCTCCTTTTAGTGCCCTTGGCACCCTGGAATGCAGAGTTAGACTAGCCCAAGCTCATGTTCTACTGGAAACGGATGCCTGAGCTCAGAGCTTAGTGTTCTGTGGCAAGGAAGAATGCTCCCTGCCTCTGCTTCTTGTCCTCACCACCCCGTTCCTGAAGCCAGTCAAGTGCCATTAGTCTGGAAGAGAGCAAATGGCTGCATTTTCACACCTACTCCCCAGCTCAAGAGCCATATATTTGAATCTTGACTACACCTGGCCTAATCCTGCTGCCAATTTTCACTGGTGGAAATGTCTTCTAGATGTGTTTGAGTATCTGTGCTGCATATCCAAAATAATCACACCCATAATCCCTTACATTTGCTTGTTACTATAACCTGCTGTCATGAACATTATTGTCACCCCTCAGTGAGTTGTCATGTGAAACCAGAGCTGAGCAGAGTGGGGAGCAGCCTGGACAGAACTGTAACAGTGTCTAAGCTTGGAGCCCCTCTCGCCTGTTTCTCTCCCTCACTCCTAATACCTACACACTACGTCAGCTGTGTCTTCCCAGATGCCTTCACTCTGGATGTTTCTTTACCTTTCTCTCCCCTCTCTACCCAGCGTGTTTTAAAGACAATGGTTGATACGATTAATAACGCCCTCTTATCTCCCCTAGATGGTGTACTGTTTGATGGAAACTATAATATATAGCTCTATTTAAGAAAGGATAGCAATGGTAGGAATTTCCTTGACCGTTCTAGCAAAGTCGCTGTATGGATGGGTTCTGTGTTATGTTGTCACAGCTGCCAACAACAACAGGAACTTCTGTCAAGCACTTCCCAGGCACCATGCTAAGCCCTCAATGGGCATTGCTTCATTCGATGCCACAGCACCCTAGGAAGGGAATCATTGTAGCCCCATTTAACAGATGAGGAAAGCTCAGGTGGAAAACGAAGGACATTGTTCAGCAGCACTCAGCTATTAAGTAGCAAAGCTGAGAAGTAAATCCAGAAAGTTCTTTTTGAATCCAGAATCCATGCTTTTTACACTGTTCCTTTATGCCTCTCAGCCCTCTCCTGGGTGATGTTGAAAGTGCAGGATCGGGGGAGAAGGGGAGCCCAGCCCTAACTCAAGATTTCTAAAAATTTCTAGGGCTTTATTATTAACGCATAGTTGTTCTATTTTAGAAATAACTTTGGCTCCTAGGAGGGATCAAAGTTCAAGTGGTTTGATACAAATACAGTGTAATGCTTAAAAGACTTGGCTATGGGTTGTCTGCCTTGTAATTTGGGTAGTTG